CTGCCAACACGCAGTGCAATTGCATACAGATAGGCAATGAACTTGACCAAGCATATAAAGACACTGTAATACAATACAATCTCTCCGGAGATATGAGCCCAAGCTTAAGTACCCAGAAGTCACTTATTAATTTTATGATTTAATATCCCGAAAGTGGCCAGTGCATAAAATATGTACAAAGCATAAAGAGTTACAAATAATACGGAAAATACAAGAAGTCACACAATTGGCTATTGACTATAAAATAAAAGGGAATAAAAACAAATAAAACTTACCAAGAGTTATCCTGCAACTGGAGCAAGTCAGAGAAAGTCCGCGATCCGCAAGTCAATAGAACCGGCTCCGTGTGAATTACACTGTCCATATCTCAGGTCCTCAACGTATGGGAATATGGACGTGGCCTGGACATTAGCCCTTGGCCAATCAACTCTGGGGGGGTGTTCCTGTACCAGCCCACAGGACATTCTGGGTACTGAAATGCCCAAAGTCGATTTGACCAGGAACGGTTTGAATCACCAAGTCAGGGATTGAATTTCCGACACCAGCGCATCAGTCCGATCACGACAGTACCAATCACTGTTCAGCTGTCGCAATCAGGCGCCATATAACAGTTTTATGCATTTCTCTGGAATTCTACATAGGCTACAAATGCAGTTTTACATGCAGATGTAGCCTACAGTGTGTCCAATCAGAAGGAAGTATTTTCATCTCTCTGCAACTAATATTTTAGCTTTTATGAGAGATGAAATATATTCCTTTGATTTGCTGATATAAGTTATAGCTTGACAGACACATTGGAGCCACTCCTGGTCTCCTGCTGTTTTCGAAGCCGAAACGTCTGGGGTTCCTCTTTTAAACTTCCAGAAGGTGACAAAGTCTGGCTACATAGGTGACAAGGTTTTATTGACATCTAGGTGTCACCTGCAGCCTAGAGGAAGCTCTGTCCTTTCAGATGCTAATTGGTGACCATATGTCTCTGACTGAATCCTGAACCCATCCTATTATTAACATGGAATGAAGCTAAATCTACAATGTCATATTTCTACAGATCACATCTCAGCTACTCAAATCTTACATTTATGTCACAGTCATGTGTCCCAGAAGACGACGGACCATTCACAAAGCGCAGCGCTTCTTGCGCATGCGCAGTGGGCACCTGGCTGTCACAGCCGGATGCACACACTAAAGATGCCGGCACGGGAAAACTGCACAGCACTGGACAGAGGAACAGGTATGGTCCTGCTGCAGAGAAGAGTTGACGGCCAGCCCGGTATTCTGACATGGTGGCGGCGGTGGAAATACCAGACCGGCCACTCCATATTCGCTCCATAAGACGCATTGACATTTTCCCCCCTTTTTTGGGGGGAAAAAGTGCATCTTATGGAGCAAAAAATACAGTAATTCATTATATATCAAACTACATATAAATATCATGTGTATATAACATATAACAGTGGACAGAAAATGAGTGCTCAAATGAACCAACTATAGTAAACAAAACAATGATATCACAAAGTAATGTCCAGTGATCGAAAAATAAATAAAGTCCGCTGATGAAAAAAATCTTGTGATGAAAATCATATGGTGTTCACAGCCATACACAGTGCCCGCAGTGCGCCCCCACTAGGGCGTGCACTCATCAAATTTGCCTTTATTATAGAGTAAAGAAGGCTTCCACTGGTGTAAACTGGGGGTTCATCCAGAATCAGCTCACTCAATGAACAAATGCAAGGGTGATTCAAGTATCCACTCCATTAATACAACATACTCCACCATATCATGAAAAGAGAAGAACAAAAACCCGCTCCAATGGTGTATTACCCAAGATAAATTGATTTATTGCTCTAAGTATTGCACTTACAATGTTAAAAACAAGCCCATATAGCACCATTTTGTGATCAGCAGAAACCACATGGTACTCTCACCACCTGCAGAACTGTTGGACAGAACGCTGTCACGTCACTTCCGGCTATGGATCTATGTCACTTCCGGTTTGCCGCACCGTCACGCTCTGAGGCGTTTCGTCATATTCTGACTTACTCATAGGGTCTGAGAAATAGTGAGAAAAATCCCGCCCAAGGGTAGATAGCAAAAAAAAATGGATTCTAACTTTACCCTGCAGTTTCGCAAAAACAATGTTTTAGCTGAAATGCTACATAGGATGGAACTTCACTCCCTCAATCAACACTGGCTTCTATTTAATCCTTATGCTGCTAGCATTATATATAGATAGGAAAGTATTACATGTTTACTTTGTTTTAGACTTTTTTTTTTCACATTTAGTATTAAGTTACTTCCTGATTTCCAGGCCTAGGCAAATGATGTCATACATTCCAGGAGTCTTCAGAAGGGGAGGAGGGGTTTTCTCAGCTAAGCACACCCTCCTTCCTGCATGCCTGAGCTAAGGACAGATAAATTTCCAAAAGTAAATGCTACATGAATTATCTGCCCTTACTCAAGATGGCCACAGAAATGCTAGGGGTGTTTTTCAAATTGATTTCTCAGAAAAATAAAGCATGGAGAGATGGATAGATGGGGAAGTATGCTCTGAATATTAAACATGAATTAAGTAGTATTTTTGTTTTGTGGTGCTCAGATGCTTCTATCCTTTACAGACAAGGAAGCTGCTATATTAGCCTTTGTTTGATCTGTAGTTGCCATGGTGCTGCACATGTGATCAGCTATGACACCAGTCATTTGATGGATTGACAGTTTGGTTGAGAGGTGACATACAGTTGCAAGAAAAAGTATGTGAACCCCTTGGGATTCCGTGGAGTTTTGCATGAATTGGGCATAAAATGTGCTCTGAACGTCATCTAAGTCACAACAATAGAAGAACACAGTCTGCTGAACATAATACTACACAAACATTAGATGTTGCCATGGTTTAATTGCACATAACATGTAAACATTCACAGTGCAGGGAGGAAAAAGTATGTGAGGCCCTAGCTTAATGACTTCTCCCAGAGCTAATTGGAGCCAGGAGTGAGCCAACCTTGACTCCAATCAGTGTGATGATATTGGATGTGTTGCTGACAGCTGTCCTGCCCTTAAAAAACACAAACCTGTTTTGGGTTTACTGGTTTCAAGAAGCACTGTCTAATGACCTCAGAAGACCTACGATCAAGAATTGTTGACTTGCATGAAGCTGGAAAAGGTTACAAAAGTATCTCCAAAAGCCTTGATGTCCATGTGTAGACGGTAAGACAGACTGTCTACAAATGGAGAAAGTTTAGCACTGTTGCTACTCTCCCTAGACGTGGTCGTCCTGTAAAAATGACTGCAAGAGCACAGCGCAGAATGCTGCATGAGGTAAAGAAGAATCCCAGAGTGTCAGCTAAAGACCTACAGAAATCTCTGGCACATGCTAACATTTTTGTTGACATATCTAAAATAAGGAAAACATTAAACAAGAATGGAGTACATGGAAGGACACCAGGGAGGAAGCCATTGCTGTCCAAAAAGAATATTGCAGCACGTTTGAAGTTTGCAAAAGAGCACCTGGATGTTCCACAGCACTACTGGCAAAATATACTGTGGACAGATGAAACCAAGATTGAGTTGTTTGGGAAGAACACACAACACTATGTGTGGAGAAAAAAAGGCACAGCACACCAACATCAAAACCTCATCCCCACTATAAAACATGGCGGAGGGAGCATCATGGTTTGGGGCTGCTTTGCTGCCTCAGGGCCTGGACGGATTGTTGTCATTGATGGGAAAATGAATTCCAGAGTTTATCAAGACATTTGCAGGAAAACGTACGACCATCTGTCCGCCAACTGATGATCCGCAGAGGATGGGTGATGCAACAGGACAATGACCCAAAGCATACAAGTAATTCAACAAAACAATGACTGCAACAGCACAGAATACGCCTTCTGGAGTGGCCCAGTCAGAGTCCTGACCTCAACCTGATTGCAATGCTGTGGCATGACCTTAAGAGAGCGATTCACACCAGACATCCCAAGAATATTTCTACACTGAAACAGTTTTGTGAAGAGGAGTGGTCCAAAATGACTCCAGATCGTTGTGCAGGTCTGATCTGCAACTACAGGAAACGTTTGGTTGAGGTTATTGCTGCCAAAGGAGGGTCAACCAGTTATTAAGTCCAAAGATTCACATACTTTTTCCTCCCTGCACTGTGAAAGTTTACATGTTATGTGCAATTAAACCATGGCAACATCTAATGTTTGTGTAGTATTATGTTCAGCAGACTGTGTTCTTCTATTGTTGTGACTTAGATGACGTTCAGAGCACATTTTATGCCCAATTCATGCAAAACTCCCATGTAATCCCAAGGGGTTCACATACTTTTTCTTGCAACTGTAAGCACACTAACAACTGTGACAGTTATCATTCAAGTCATGCCTTGAATGCAACTGGTTTGGGAAACAGTTACATCAGTGGATTTAGTTCTGCTTTAAAGACTGTCTTGGTGGTGGGTGCTGCCATAGTTGATGTCTTTTCTGAAAATGCAAGATGTATGGCTGTTATGCTAACTTTAGTGACTTCTTTGACCCAGAACAAATATCCAGATCTGGAGTGTTGAGTTTTCTGGACTTACATGTTCCTGGGTTAGTTAGACACCCAGACAACTAGCATATTCACTTGGAAGTCAGAAATTGGTGTCCTATATTTCTCTTTCGGGTCGATGCACACTAGGGGCAGAAAAAAATCACAGGATCTCTGGCAGAATAAAAAAAAAATACAATAAAATACGTACAGTGGCTCATATTGCACAAGAGTTTGAATTTGTTTCCAAAACATTCTCACCTGCTTATTTTTAAAGTACACTGGAAAATGCTGAATGCTCCTAAATGGTGCATTTTCGAGCATTAAACTTTTTTTCTACCCAAAAGCTCCTTTCAAAAAGGTGATTTTGAAGGGTTTTTTTCTGCCTCTAAATTCTCCTCTGAAAATATGCATGTAAACTCACCATGTGCATGGATACATAGGCTAACATAGAGCTGCTTCTACAGGCTGAAGAAAAAAAAATGCCGAACACCTGTATAAGCAGCATTTTTTATGCCCAAGTGTGCATGGATCCTTAAAGTGTTACTAAACCCAGGACCCTGCATTCACTATATCTGGTCTCCCACAGTATACATAACATGGAAACACAATTATTTTAGTAAATATAAACTACCAAATACATTTCCTCATCAGCAGTTAGAGCAGTCTTGTGACTTCTATCAATGTCCAGCAGATCACTAGTTAAAGCTTGTAGGAGTTTTCATTCTCCTCTCACTGTCCTATGAGACTGCAGGACCCCTGACCCTCTGTCTCAAGAAAAAAAAAAAAAGAAGCTCTTTAGCAATACACACCATATTGAGCTTGTGCAGCTTGCCCCAAGGCTCTGTTCTATCAGAAGTTGAGTTGGGGACACTGGAAGAAGGGGAGGATCAGAGAAGACAGGATTAAACAGCCTTTTTACACAATGCAGAGGATTAACACCGTAGGTTCCACAGTGAGAGTATAACAAGCACGCTTTACTGCATATACAGACTGATTTTACTGTTGTGGGTTTAGTAACACTAAAAGCAACCTAGCAAGAAATGTTTGTCTCTTTTTAAACACTAGATGGGGCTTTTTCATTCACAATTTGCTTACCCTACCCCCATAAATCAAGGAATATATAGGAATTAAAAGAAATTCTCAAACAGTCTTGGCCAAATGTGATGTTAAAACTGTACTTGTTGTATTTAGTAAATGGCCTGCTAGCAATTCCGTTTGTACTTGCTCATTTTTAAGCACATTTCCCCACTTTTTCTACAGGTCATCATGCATCCTCCAGTTCACTTCACACTAGGTGCACCAAATCTTCTTTCTTCTTTTAAGTGAACCACTTTAAACTGTTAAATGTTAAAGTCCAGCCTGTTAGCCTATTATATGCTCCTCTATTTGTTACTGTGGTCTGACTTCATGGCTAACTGCTATCATTTACGACCCCCCTTTTCAGTGAGAATGCCCTTAATAGCCACTGAGGCAGTATCATTGGTCAGCAATGTAGAAAAGTGAAATATATCATTATCATTGGAAAACGTAGGGTACAACTTGCCATGTGACTTTGATGTCCAAAGATGCAGGACAAGTCGCACATGTGTGAATGGGGTCTAGAGAGTCTATTTATATTAAAAAAGAAAAACCTGCATAGCCATTCGCATTCGCGAATCTGCATGTACATTTGTTCTGTGAGAAATGGGAGAAAAAACAAATGTTGTTTAAGCTATTTTCTCTTCTGAATTATTTTTTTTTATTCTCAGCAGTTGTAAAATATGGTATTATGGCCAATAGAAAAAGCCAAGGAGCATACAAAATGTGTAACATGAGATACAATATAACAATTCTGGGGAATGCTAGAGGTGGTTAGCAAATAAATGTAACAATTGGTTATTTGCTAGTTCCCTCTAGTGCTCTATAGAATTGTTATATTGTATCCACTGTTACAAAGATGTACTGTATGTATTTCCTATGTTCCTCAGGTTCATCTCATGGGCATAATGTAGTATTTTAATCATGCCTATAAAAAAATTCAGAAGAGTAAATAGCCTAAACAACGTTGGTTTATGCCCAATTTGCACAGAACGAATGAAAATACAGATTCATTGCATGAATGGTTATGCATTTTTTTTATAAATAGGCCCCTAAATCAGGGAAGGGCTCATGTGAGTGTTTTTTTGGCTATCCAGAGGTGCCTGCCCTTAGCTAGAACGTTTATTTTTAAAAGGTGAAAATAAAGTACATTTCAACCGCAACAACACCATATTCTATTCTCTTTCTACAATGTCCCCTAAAAGTTAAAGTGTTACTAAACCCAGGACCCTGCATTCACTATATCTGGTCTCCCACAGTACACACAACATGGAAGTGCAATTGTGGTAAATGTAAACCTGACTACCTTTTCCCATCAGCAGTTAGAGCATGTGACTTCTATCAGTGTCCAGCAGAGCACATGTTAAAGCTCGTAGGAGTTTTACATTCTGCTCTAGGAGGATGCAGTACCCCTGACCTCTGTCTGCACAGTGCTGATTGGCCCTGTGCTGATCACATGCATTTTCCCAAGAAGAAATAAAAACCTCTCTAGCAATATGCACCAACCTGAGCATGTGCAGAGTGACTCCACACAATATGTCTTATCAGGAGATAAGAGGGGGACACTGTAAGAAGGGGAGGATCAGAGAAGTCGGGCACAAACAGTCTTAGGTTCCACAGTGAGAATAACAAGCTTTCTGTACTGCATATACAGACTGATTTTACTGTTGTGGTGGTGGAGAAGAAGACCATGGCTAACTTCCTGGGCCTCACACAGGTCTTTTGCTCTTCTAGGACCCACCTCTAAATTGATGTTGACATTAGCTGAATTCCTGTTTTAACCTCAACAATACTATAATATTTTCTCTTTCTACAATGTCCCCTAAAAGTTAAGGTTTCTGTTAAAGTGTTACTAAACCCACAACAGTAAACTCAGTCTGTACATGCAGTAGCATTCTTGTTGTACTCAGTGTGGAACCTAAGGGGTTAATCCTCTGCATTGTGTAAAAAGACTGTTTGATCCTGTCTTCTCTGATCCTCCCCTTCTTACAGTGTCCCCCCTCTTATCTCCTGATAAGACATATTGTGTGGAGTCACTCTGCACATGCTTAGTTTGGTGTGTATTGCTAGAGAGGGTTTTTCTTTTCTTGGGAGAGTGCATGTGATCAGCACAGGGCCAATCGACACTGTCCAGACAGAGGTCAGGGGTACTGCATCCTCCTAGAGCAAAATTAAAACTCCTCTTACAAGCTTTAACCAGTGCTCTGCAAGACACTGATAGAAGTGGCTACTTCACTACACCCATGGCATAGGAAGCAAAAGTTGTAATCCCAAGTTATGTAATTTGGCCAGGTTGTAGTAGGACTGGGGAAAGCGTTTCTGTTGAATTAGTTTGGCTTTAGATTATTTCATAGAGCCCTTTTATGTGTCTTAATACTCCGTACAGCCAAAATATGCCATTTGGTTTTGGCATTCTGGTATTAAGGGCTGCATAGTATGTAGAGGCAAGTCCAAATGTGTCTTGTTGCCGAGGGAGCTTTTCTAGAGCTGTTTGGCCCAACAATACATTATGTATACCACATTGAGTTTGTGCAGCAATTTGCAGCTGAGGGTAGTAAGATGTAATTTTGGACATACATTCTTCCTGGAGTTGGCCAAACAACTAAATCTCATGTGAGGATTACAGTTGATGAGCATATGCTAAAGGAAAGCCAATGTTGTACATTTAGATAGAGTGGCAGTTGACCATGTTGGATTGTAGTGGGAGTTGACCCAGATATCTCCAAATAATTTATTTACAATGTATAGAAATATGCTAGGAGAAGTGCAGAGTAATGTAGTACCTTGGTTAGAGGACTGAGCATCTGTATTATATACATTATATGGTGTAAAGATTCATAGGAGGGGACAATGACAGTTTTAGTGGTGGTAAAAACGTTATCAGATACTTGGACAAGCTAGTCATGGATGTTTGCAAGTTGCGCTGCCAGTAGTGGAAACTGGAGAATGCCAAGCCTTCCATCTGTGTTGGGATTCTCAGAGTTTTCATTACAATATTGGGTTTTTTTTCTTGCCAATGAAAAGGAGATACAGATAGTATCAATTTTCGTAAACAAGTCTGCTTGAATTGTACAGGTGTCGTTGGCCAGGATATATTGGATCTTGGAAAAGGAAACAGTTTTCAGTGGAATTCCCATCAGGTCAAATGGCAAATACATCTGTTGTTTAGTTTTTTTTAATTCCTATTAAGAGTTGAAATGATAGGTCGGAGATTGATAGGGATATAGGATTTGAAGGGAAGTTGGAACATTACTCCCAGGAACCTGAATTTATCAACAACTTGCAGTTGTGGGGTTGGGTGGATTGAGACTTTAACACTTTATTTTTAATAATGTAATCATTTCAGAAGATACTGTGCAATGGCAGCCTGCATATTATTCCCACTTCTGGTTTCCTCTGATGGGTGGCATATTACAATACAGGTCCATTGAGCTCTTGGAACTTTAGTAGTTATGAAATCGGTGTCGGTACTGAAAGGGTCTATAAAATTCAGAAGCATGTAAAAAAATATATATAATGCAAAAGTATTGTGTAGTATATGAGTCCTTAGGAATCTGCCTGAATTTTGTGTTTACTTTGCTATGAAAATATGTAGTGGCTTGACATTTCCGTACACGTATTCTCAATGTATTCTTATTTCCTGGGTAAAAACATTAGCAGGTGAATCTTTCTTGAGTTACAAAAAAAACAATTCTGGTTATCAAATGCCCATCTATTTTTCTACCCACGGATTTCCCATGTTGTAGGCGACAATGATGCTGACAACAGAAATTTTGTGTGCCTGAGGTTACACTCTCTGTTTTGATAGTTTCCATCTGTAGGAGGGGTGGAGGTGAGATATTGTTAAGTTGATTTTTAACCACTTGTAATAAATGACTTACTTCTGCAAGAAAGATGAGGATTAGCCAGGATATTCAGATTTGTTAAGTTAACCTAAACCCCTTACTAACCACGAGTACAAGACTGGATAGTAAAGGGGCTAAATCCATTTGTTGTGAATTGCATTATTTAGGTTATTTTGTTTTGACAAAATTGAAGAATTTGGAGTATATAATAATGACATATTGTATATGTAAAGCACCCCAATTATATTTATGTTTCTGACCCAACTGATAACCCTAGTTAAGAAGTAAGTGTATATATGCATTATTATTATTATACAGGATTTATATAGGGCCAACAGTTTGCACGGCACTTTGCAAAATAAAGAGAGGCAATATTTACAATACAGTTCAATACAAGAGGGCTAGGAGGGCCCTGCTCATGAAAGCTTAAAATCTAAAAGGTTGGGGGCAAGCTGGTAAACACAGACACCTTTATAAATGTTTAGTAATGAAAATCTACAAACAGTAGATAATTGCAGGCTTTGTATTCTTTAAATACCTTTCCTTCCCCATTCTTATCACAGTAGCCATTTTCACTAGGGGCAGATCAATCCATTTACCTTTGTTTCCTGGAATTCTGCCTTGAAATCTGGGTCTGCCTTCTAGAACAGTGCACATCATCTGAGGCACTGGTGATGGAAATTTCTTCCATGGGTCACAGTAGATAACAGATCACTGTATCAAGCTGGCCACGGTACCTTGTGATCGCTGTGACCAATCACGGCGATCACATGACATTTTTTACACAGTGAATGGCTTTCCCAATTTACAAATGGCACTGTTTATATCCTGCGAAACTGAAGTGATGAAATGCTCGTAGCTTTCCGATTTCTTAGGCTATAGAGATGAATGGCATCATTCTGGTCAATAATCAACTCTATGGTCAGCTGGCAGAAACACCAGCTGCATTCTCAGGTTCCCCCAATGGCACGGGACTGCCCAAGAAGACCATGAAAGGCAGTGGGGGGGGGGGCATCATCTCCTGCTGCTTGTAAAAGCAATCCTGCAGCTAATTAGCCAGTAGGATTGCTTTTACATGAAAGCTGATCGCTGGCTGAGAAAAATGATACCAGGATGATGCCTACAGCTGTAGGCATCATCCTGGTATAACCAAAGTCCAGTGATGTACCAGTACGTGTGGTCCTTGTTGGGTATATATGCTATGTTCTTATTTTTTTTTTGTATGCTGCCTATGGGCTGAATGAAAAAATGAGAATAAATCTCTGCCAGAAAACGTGTGTGGTATGCCCACCATTAGAATATACCGCCCTGCATCCACCCACTTCTAATGGTGGGCACACATTAGGTCGCACGGTGCCACATGCGCCAGTTCCCAGATTGTACAAATGTCTAAATAGTGGCACGCTTGAATAAAAATTGTCCACATATAAGTGGTACCCCATATGGAAAAAGGATGACACCAAGTCCCAAACTATCTTGCCACTGCTCCCCATGTAGTCTGGGCATCCGGGGTGCTCCACCACATGACTATCTTTTCCTTTTGTAAATCTGAAACTTATATGTTTAGCCTGTTGCCCTGTCACAGGTCTTATACATCTTGACCCCATATCTGGCATGCTTGCTGGGGAGTAATTGTTTGAATGCAAGGGGGCCAGAAAAATTAATGAGGGACTCATCAACGCAGATTTTTTGCTGGGGAGTATAGACATCTGCAAATTTTTGGTTAAGGTGATTTACAAGGGGCCGAATTTTGTGAAGCCGGTCAAATGTGGAGGATGACAGAGTGTATTGTCGTTGAAATGCATAAAACACATTATACTCTCATATCTATGCCTGGCCATGGCAGCAGAGAACACAGCATATGATGAATCTGGTCTGTGGACCAATACGACCGCAATTAATTTTTTTTTAGTAATGCCCATTTTGAGGGTTAGGTAAAAAAAATTTAAATTCAGAAATCGTAATGGGTTTCCATGCGAATGGTCTGGCAAGATTTGAATCTGGATTGGCATCGATAAATTGTTGTGCATATAAATTGCATTGATCCATAATCAATGCATACAGATCTTCCGTGAAAAACAGCTCCAAAAAATCAAGGGGAGTAGTTAAATTTGCTATTTCCACCTGAATTCTGGGTTGAGCAGTGAATGGGGGAAGTACAGGTGCTGCAGAATTTGTGGGCTGCCAATCGGGATTTGCAAGCACATCCGGAAGGATACTATGGGCTCTACAGGCCTGTGTGCGAATTCTTGGTGGTTGCGGGACAATACTTGTGCTCGCCACCGCACCATCTTTTACTGCACTTATGGGACTCGCCACGTCACCAAGTCATACTGCAGTGCTGGTATGTGAAAGACCAGGATGTACTAGGCCGCTGGTGCTCGCCAGTTCACCAAAAGGTAGGGTGGCACTAGTACTGGCACTCTGCATATGAGAGTCATCAAAATGTATCGGCAAGTGCTAACAGAGATCAGGTCTGATTCTGCGAATCAAAGATATTGATCCGTTCACACACTATACTAGCAATGGAGATTTATTATGTATGAGCGCGTTCCTGGCAATCAAGGGGTTAAATGTGATTACTGGTGTACTGACGGGCAATCTGACGCTATCTGGGAGGGGCATGAAAATCATGGGAGCGCGAATCACGTGTATGAACAGGGTGCAAT